TCTTATGCCAGATATCAGCTTTTTGTTCGCATGCCATCGTAGCAAAGACTCCCCAAGACGTGTCCCGGAGTCCACTCTTTCTCCATTGTCATTTGGTGTCATCTGATGCAGAACAATGATATTTTCTGACCTGTCCAGAGATGGGACGTTGATGTGTTTTGTGCCCCTGTTGTGAGGAATCCACCAGGGCAGACCACTCAGATATGGGTTCAAGCCAATAGGAAGTCTTTATTAATAAAGCCTCCTGGCTAATAAACACCAAGTGTCGGGACTTGAGTTTAGTCCAGAGCCTTTCTCAGGGTGAGCTTTTAAAGACAAAAAATGCAACCTGTGCTGACACACCTCAGCTGGCAAGACCACTCAGCCAGAAGCTGAGACTACAGAAGCCCAAAGCGAGGTCAGAGCAGGTATGGACTTGCCCTGGACTAGGTCGGTCTTTCCATTCTGGCAAGCGCTGCTGCCTGTGTGCTGGGTTGCAAGGCCTGGATGGTTCTTTCCTTGTGGCATCAGATGTGCTAAGTGGGTCTGGGGCCTTGGTCTAGGGCCCGTTGCACACCTTTCCACAAAGGATTTCTGAACTTCTGATGCATTACCAATTGGAATCTTTCCACAAGCTCTTCCTCTTCACACCCTCCTTGTAGACACAAGTGAGGTGTAACCCAGGGTGAGCAAGCATTCTTGAGTTCAGCATCCTGAATACTGACACCCCAGGGCAAGGATGAACAGCCTTGGGGAGGATACGCTGAGAGGTTCCTTCTCGTATGCGGCAGTCTCCTCGACAAGATGACGGTTACAAAAGCCCACTGTGGTTTCTCTTCAGCATGACAAACAAGCCTGGACTCCTTCACAGAAATGGGCCTACAAAACTGCAGGGACTTGGATGTCTTGGCTGCCCAGGCATGTCTGTGGTGCTTGATTAAATGTGCTGCTTTGGGTTTAGCAATTCATAAAAAATTGAACAAAATTTTATAAAATTAGCAGGGATGATTAAAGTACACCCAAATCCTTTTCTAAACCTAAATTACAATATCTATCAAGAGGCATGGCCAGGCTCTCTCTTTGGATCCATGAGGAGCTGACTGTGGGGAGTCATACCCCATTGGCTTCCATATTCACACTTTGGATGGCAGCTTCTGCTTCTGGTCCTTGTATTCTAGCTTGTGTCTCTTCTAGAACCCAACAATTTCTGGGAACAAAGGTGCTGACACTCTAAGGCTACTAAGGGGTTAACCCCAAAATGTCTGGACTTGAAACAGACCCTTTCTCCAGCCCATGGAGAGAATAGGTCCTTCCAGGCAGGGTCTATGCCCTCAGCAGCAGGAAAGAAGCTACAGAAGGAGGATCGTTGCTCTTCAGCACCCTAAGAAGATTTCTGGGGTCACACCTCTCAGTGGGGTATTGAGGTGGGGGAGTCCAGAATGGGCTAGAGAAGGAGACTGTAGAGTGTGTGACACGGGAAAGATGCACAGATCGCAACCTTCCCGGCGATCTGTTACATGCAGAAGACAGGGTCTGCCCAGAAAAGTGCTGGCATGCCAACAACCCTGTGACCCACAGGAGACCACCCCTTCCTCTCTTGGAGCTGGGCCACACACGCTCCCTGCTTCTCTGTCTGAATAAATGAGGTCCCTTCCTGTATCTTTTAAATGAATTGTGCAGAGACAGAAAAAACCCGTTTCAGGACAGCCAAAGCTACATAGTGGGACCGTGTAGCAAACAAAACAAAACACCTTAGCTTTGCTCAGACCGCCATCATATATATAACCTGATGAGCCAGTTTGTTAAAGGCTGTTTGACAGAAATACAGTGCAACCTTGGGCCATCCTAAGAGGCCAACTCTTGTGCTTAGGTAAATAGGACTGTCCCACAAGGTAAACAGAAAGGTGCAGTTTGGCAATCTCTTAAGGGACTCGTTTTACTCCACATTGTCCAGATAAATATTTGTGTCTGAGGCTTTGCCGTTGCTGGAGCTCACACCACAGGCTCTAGGTTTGGTGGACCCCTCTCAAAATCACAGCCCTCAAAGAAGCCCTTTAAAACCCTACAGTAATTCAGTCCACCTTTAACGATATAATTTAATCTGTGATACTGGGGTGGAACCCGGGACCTCATCGTTCTAATGCCAAGCTCTACTGCCAAGCCCTTGAGATTTCCAGACAGTTTCTCTAGATACTGGGGGCTCATTTTGCCGCTATATCATCTTGCCTCTGAATCTGTCCCTAAAGGCCTGGGACAACAGGCTTGTGCTTCCATGTCTGGCTACATTTTAATATTCAACAACAAACCCAAAAAATCTGAGGTGACCTTGTGTGACCCCAGAATAGCAAACAACATAGGCGTCACCGAGGCCATGTGTCTTCTGTGGTTATTTTAGTCCCTGGACAGGCTAGTGCAGGTCCCTCTGGGGTGCAAAAACTTGGCAACCTGATCTTTGAACTCATTTGATTTAATTTTATTTTTTAGGACAGTGGATTTCTCTGTCTCTGTCTCTCTCAATCCCCTCCTTTTGGCAAGTAGTGTGATTCTTATCTAGTTCTTATCTAGTGTAGATTTCCTTTACTTGTTTGGGGCCTTCTTTATTCCTGGAGTGTCTTTTCTGCGATGTAACCAGAACTTGGACCTTGTACTGCTCTGCAAATGTCTCCTCTTGACACTTTACAGAATCTCAGACACTCATTCTTATGCTGGTACCGTAGGTCAGTAAAGGCTTATCTTGGGCCGCCATCACTTGAGAGCTGTTCTAAGAACACAGTAATTGCTCAGTGCATAACGATCGGATGATGAAATGAGGAGCTTGCCCATGGACGAGGTGGGCAGGCAGGTGCCCAGTTGCTCCTGCTGTGTGAGGGATGCTGTGTTCCTGAAAGAGAACAGATGTGCCCTGTAAAAAGGTGAGGGAGGCTCATCCCCTCCCTCTTCTCAGCCTAGGACCTGCAGCCCGCCCTTCCTCCCACACCCCTTCCAGGGCCCTAGTCTGGTGCCTGAATCTCTGTCCAGCACCAGGATCCTTGTTCTCTCTGGGTCTGCAGCTGGCTGCTATCACTGCCCACTCTTGCCTGGATGGATGTGGGTAGGAGACTTTGGGCCCTGGCCAGCTGGTGCCAGGTTTATGGCGCTAAGGCCTGCGAGGGCCTAGGTACGACCCTCCTCCCTCGACCTGTGCTTGGAGCTGGCTCTGTGCAGTGAGAGTCAGCCCGGTTTGAGTTTGATCTGGGGAGCTGAGTTCAGAGGTCACTTCCTCATTCCAACAGCCACAAGAATGATGCCAGCACCAGGCTTGGTGGGAAGTGGCAACTCACTGTCCCCTCTGCACCCACAGTCCTGCCAAGCCCCACCTAGGAGCCTCCCAGTGCCATTGACACTGCCCGAGAATGTCCAGAGGCCAAGGAGGAACGGTGCCAACCACACAGCCCTTTCCTCCCCTCATGGGAGCAGGAGCCCCAGTGCCTGTTTTAGAAAGTGAGGGACATGTGTGTCCTTGTGTGGCCCTGGCTCTGCCTTACTACAGGACTCAGGGCTGGCTTCTGAGTTTTCGTCAGTATTTAGCCAAGTTCTGTGTTAGTCACATGGGCCTAAGAGCCTTGGTGTTTACAGGGAGTCACCCAGCTCTGGGCCCTGGCCACTCTGGTCCACCAAGTCTGTTCCAGATGCCAAGGGTGCTGGGTTCAGGAAGGCATTTCATTCCTCTCCACCATGGTTTTATAGCTCTTGGACTGGGAGAAGAGGCAGCTCTGGCTCTGTGTTTTGGAGCTCGGTTCTATGTCTCCGTGCTATGGCTGCAGTTCTGTTTCTATGAATGAGTCATTCAATAAAGGCAATCAGACTGGGGGGAAAAGGTGGGAGGCTCAGAGATTTCTCCATAGGATGTGGCTCCCGTTTTGTGGTACCCCTTCTACTATCTATGTCACTGTGTGTGAATCAGAAGATGAGATGACCTCATGCTGACCCAGTTTACCTAAAGTCAATGGATTATGTCAAACCTTGTTATCCCCAAACCTAGCATTCACACCCCAATCCAGAACAGCAGAATCTTTGTTTGCTGCTCCAGAGGTCTACCTTCCCTGCAGCCTGTCCAGAGTCAGGGCCGTACCCACCGAGAGTCAGAAGTGCTGCCACTGTCCAGTGGTGATGAGAGACCAAGGGCCGCCTCTGGAGACCCAGAGAGGTGCAGCAGAGAGGAGCTGGGGGTCCAGACTGGAAGAGAGGGACAGCTGTGACGTATCACACCTCTGCTCCATCTGCACCAGACACTGCCTCAAACTCACAGACATCCACCTGCCTCTGCCTCCTGAGTGCTGGGATTAAAGGCGTGCGCCACTACCACCCGGCCCTGGCCTGTGTCTTTCAAGAGATGGCCCCTGCCTGTTCCCATGTTTCTCAACACAGTTCTGCACTTTTCTGTGTGGATCCCAGTTCTCTTATCTTGGCATCTGTGCCTTCCTGGGCTGTGTTGAATGGTCTCACAATTTACCACAGAGGACAGCTATGCAGGGGGAGGGACATGGATTAGCCTCATGGAGAGATCCCACTTCTCTGGTCCCCTCTGCCAGCCACTTCTTTCCTACAGATAAACTTCAGGGAAGATGCCCTGTAGGAACTTTCTGGGGCAATGCCCATCTCTTCTCATACTCCAGTCTGTTCCCCAGGGGAGGGGTGGATGGTTCAATTGGTAGAGGGCTTGATATGCAAGCATGGGGGACTTGTCTCAACACAGGCACATACACAGGCACACACACAAAGACACACAGACAGATACACACACACACTGACACAGACACAAACAGAGACACGCACACATAGACACATGTTTGTGCACACACACATACACAGATGATAGATAGACACAAAGAGACTCACACACAACACACCCACATGCGTACACACTACATGCCTGTATGAGTGCACGCACACACAGATGCGCAGAGATCCGGATGAGTATGCAAAGGTGTTTATTGAGTAGAAAAGATCTGTTCAGTTTAATGTGAAGGGAACCGGGGACAGTTTCATGAGGACAGGTGCTGACCGCAGCACAGGCAGAGGAGCAGGCTCTTCACCACTGTGAACGTGGAGCTGGTTCTAGAGCTAAAATAGCCCATCCAAGTGAACCGGAACCACTGGATAAGTACCGTTGTCTTGTGGAGTTCTGTTGTTACAAGCAACTCTGTAGAACTTTGTTGCTCGTGACGTTTGGTATCGGCATTGTGTATAATGTGTTGCTGGAGTTGTGAGGTTACAGTAAGTTAAAGATACTTGAGCAGGACTATTATGACAATTTGTGTGTGTCCTATTTCTGCAGGGAGTGTTTGGTCTGCCACACACACTGACGACAGCAGCAAAAGTTGTATGAAGAAAAGTATTTTTGTCCTTGCAGCGTCCTGTATAGTTGTTAACCCCCCGCATTGCTGCGGTACATTGGAGGCCAGGCCTATTATTTACATGCTGGATTTCAAACCACTGGGAAGGGGTTAAACCCCGTGGGACCTGGACTGAGGCGACCATTATGACAAGTGGCAGCAACAGCAGGAGACAAAGTCGGGGCTCCAGCAGCTTCACACCCATACTCCTGTGAGAACAGAGAGAAGTAACTACTCCCCATCTCCCTGAAGGCCCTCTGCTGGCACCGTGGGCTCACAGTTCCCCCGCCCCTCCCGTCCCAGACTTAGAGCCCAGGGGCTTACCCGGTGTATGTTGTGGCTCCGGTGAGAACACAATGCTGGTTGTCCTGGAAATCAGGGATAAATGAGAGTTCTACCTGGACACACATATATAGAGCAGCCCTGGGGGTGGAGCTGGCAGAGCCCGGGCGGGGCGGGGGGGGGGGGGGGGAGTCGTCACGCAGGACCACAGATTGACACATTGCCTCGTTGTGCAACCAGCCTTCTGTTTCGTCTCTTGACCAACCAACGGACACCCAAAGAGCAGTGCTGCTAGCTCCGTTGTCATGTCGCATGGGACAGACTTGGAAGTCTGAATCTGAACTCTGCACAAATACCTCTGTATCACCTGCTGATTGACTGCAGATTTTGTGACTGTGACTGTGTTACAGACAGATCAAGGTTCCCAAACGCCTGGCTAGGATAGCCAGATTCACAAGAGATATGTACATTTCTGTCTCTCAGTCTTCACATAATATGACGGTGAGGTGTGGAGAAAAGCCTCAGCGGCTAAGAGCACGTGCTGCTCTTCCAGAGGACCTAAGTTTGGTCCCAGCACCTGTGTTGGGTGACTTATAACTGTCTGTAACTTCGTTTCCAGGGGGTCTGATGTCCTCTAATAGCTTCTGTGGGCATGCACACACCCACAGATACACATAAATAAAAATAAATCTTAGGGACTGGTGAGATGGCTCAGAGCTTAGGGGCACCTCCAGCTCTTCCAGACACCTGTTCCAAAGAACTCAGGGTTGCCACCCGGAGCTCAGAGCTGCAGAGAACGCCAGCTCCAGGGCAGTCTGACACCTTTTCTTTATTGGCTTCTGTTAGTACCTGCACACATGTCACACATACACACGCACACACAAGCACACACGCCCATACTCACACATAAGTTAAGGTTAACAAACTTTAAAAACTGTGTTCAGAAATAATAACAAAAATTGTCCTAAGGGCATGCTGCATAATATTTTTCTGATAGTTTCCTGCAAGGGATTACTTTGGACATTTCCAGCTACCCACATCTGCCTCCAGACTAGCACAAATTGCCTAGTTTTACACTGAGGACCTTCAAGAGAACCTCTTTACCTAAGATCGTCTGGTATAAGCCCATGCTAGAGCACTGACCTTTCATGTGAATTTGAATGTGTTTTTCTTTACTCTGGGATTTGGACCTGGGATCTGTGCTCTCTAGATAAACACTCTCCACTGAACTCCATCCCCAGAGATGCACAGATGAGAGTTTTTACTTCAGCAGAGTAAATACCCCTTGTTATCAATCCTCCCCTGCATTCCCGTCAATGGTACATTTCAGTTGTTGTGAAGCACATCCAGAATGATACTCTAGTAGTAATTAGTTTTTATGACTTGATGAAGTGATAAGATATATCAAGAAATACTTCCTCATTTCTCATAAAACTGCATGAGTCTTTTGCTGTCCCCTCGATAGGTATCCCTTTGTGTACATTACACTGATGAGAGCAGGCATCCATGACTTGGAATTTCTTCAACCTCAGTATACTGTTGCAGTGCCCGCTCTTAACCTGCGGACTGACGGTGCCCAGCTCAGCAGAGTGTTGGACACAGCCGAGTGCAGGGACTGTGCAGGAAATGACAGTGCACAGCGTGTCTAACAGCGTCATAACAACCAATGTTTTAGGACTGATCTTTTGGGAGTGCTTAGGACGTGTTGGGACAGGGTCTCACTCTATAACCTAGGTCTGGTTAGAACTTTCTTGAAAACCCAGATTGGATCCAAAATTTTCATCCTTCTGCCTCAGCCTCCCAAGTGCTGGGGTTGTAGACCTGCACACCCACGCCCAGTTTGTGAGCCAGATTGTAGGTATCTCTGAAAGACTCGCGGAGGAAATGCTGGCTTATGGCCTGTGGTACTGCTAGTGGGTAGTTAGGACCCCATGGGTGTGTCCTTGAAGGGATACTGGGACCCAGGTGCCCTTTTCTGCCCTCCTTTCTCCTCCAGGACCCGGGCAGCTTTGCTTTAGCACAGGCTTCTCACCAGCCGCAGACCCCCAAGGAAGGGAGTAGCTGACTGTGGATTGCTGTCTTTGAAACTAGAAAACAAGCTTAATCTTTGCTCTTTCAGGCCATTTGTCTCGGGTGTCAATCAAGCAGGGGAAAGCTGATTTACACAGTGATGCAAATTAATTTTACTGTGATTTATTTCTGAAAGTTAAAAGAGTATTCGGTACATGGGGCTCTAAAATTGTCTTCTTTGTGTTCTGGGGCCTCCTCCACATCTCCTCAGAAGGCTCCTGAAGGAAAGCAGATCTTGAACCTTTTGATGAGGTTCCTGGAATTGCACGGGAACTCAGAGGCAGACAGGGTTCTGGGTTGGTGGTATCTGGGAAGGGCCTTGAGTCTTCCATGTACACTCAGGTATCTGCAGAGTGACTCAGTGCATGTACCTTCCATGAGGACCCTGTGGAGCCCTGCATCACCTGTCAGTCCATGCTTGCTGTGGGTGATTGGAACCATCTTGTTAGCTGTGGTCAAGTCTTCATGCTGGGAGCCACCGAAGGTATTTTTTTGTTCCCTCCCTCCCTCCCACCCTCCCTCCCTCCCTCCCTCCGTCCCTTCCTCCCTCCCTCCCTCCGTCCCTTCCTCCCTCTCTCCCTCCGTCCTTTCCTGTCTCTCTCTATTCCACTCTCTCTCTCTCTTTCTTTTTCTTTTTTGTTGAGACAGGGTTTGTGTGTGTGTGTGTGTGTGTGTGTGTGTGTGTGTAGCCTTGGCTGTCCTGGAACTAGTTCTGTAGACCTCAAACTCATAGAGATCCATCTGCCTCTGCCTCCTGAGTGCTGGGACTAAAGGCGTGCGCCACCACCGTCCAGCACTGAAAGTGTCCTTATGGTACTCATTAAAGGGTGCCTGTCACACCCCATGTAGTGGTTACAGATAGAATGGATGGTGGGATACTCTGGCCCCTACCTGGCTGTCAGCTCCTTTGATTGGGATTTTAATTAAAATTACTACGAATCTATAGGTTAATATGAAAAAAAAAATATATGTTTTTACGTATCCAAGCACTTACATTCAACAGAGGCAGTGTTTCTCAAGCACTGACCCGGATGTCCCCGCTGAGGAAAAGCTGCAGGTGAAAGATCTAGATCCCAGGAGGACTGTCCTCCAAGGGCAGGGAAGTGCAGGAGGAAGAACTCTGATGAGGGGAACACAGAGACTTTTTGTTCAAGCTCTGCTTGTAGCGCAGTCTCTAGTCGCTAGCTCAACAATATACAAACAGCAGTGGGGAAAAACAATTGCTCACTATTGGGGAGACCCCAGAGCTTTGTGTCTCTGTCCACCAGTATCCCTTCCCAGTCCCTGATGCCCACAGCTGTGCCACTGAGGACTACAATGATGCAGAACTTTGTGTTCCTAACACTCTTGTTTCCTAAACATCATGATTCTCCTCATAAACCCACCTTACAGTTTCATTTACTGAGAGTGTACAGGACTCCATCCCTTAGCATAACTGACCCCATGATGGAAGTACCATCGTTCAGGCCATAAAAGTCAGCATATAGATGTCACCACCTGCCAAAAATGAGAAAGAAGACCTAATCCATCAAAGTCCATGGCTCTGGGACAGTCTCTAAAAGTGCTGACCTGGCTTTTTGGCACTGTGCTTCTGTTTCTGGCTCACTGCTCTTGTTAACTGAAATATGTCAACCTAGGACATGGTTTTTGAGCTTGAAAGTTCAACCTGAGAAAGGCTCAGGCTACAGTGGGATCCTGGCCACTCAGTGTAGTCACCAGCCAGCTAATAAAGATTTTCTTTGGCGTAAACCCATGTCTGGGCAATCTTCTTTGGTGAATACTCCACTAGAGCAAGCCCTTATTTTTATTTTATTTATTTATTTATTTATTTATTTTTTAACAAATGACACTCTTTGAGTAGCATTAAGAAGAATGCTCTGTTGGTCATCACCTTCAGGGATCGGCACTGAAAGCCCCCACGGTCTCATGTCCTGGTCCTAAGGAAGCTCTGGTTTTCTGCTTTTCTCACTCTCGGAGAACATGTCTTTCTTTCCCTCATTTTTTTTCTGCATTTCCCTGTGTAGCACGCTGAGTGTCCTGAAACTCACTCTGTACACCAGGCTGGCCTCCAACTCAGAGATCTTCCTGCCCCCGCCTCCCAAGTGCTGGGATTGAAGCGTGTGTTACCACTGCCTGCCTTGAGAATCAGTCTTTCTTTCTTTCTTTCTTTCTTTCTTTCTTTCTTTCTTTCTTTCTTTCTTTCTTTCTTTCTTTCTTTCTTTCTTTCTTTCTTTCTAGAAAGTGGAAGTCAGCCTGGCGATGGTGGCGCACGCCTTTAATCCCAGCACTCGGGAGGCAGAGGCAGGAGGATCTCTGTGAGTTC